TGCATGAAGTGTTGATTAGAGAACCCTGCAATATGGCTGCCTTCAGTAGGGAAAACTGCAAAGATGTAAGTAAAACCTGCGAAAATAAAACAAATGAAAATAAATGAAAGATGCTAAATATTTAATAGATGAGTATTTAATACAGTGATTTAACCAAAAGTCCAAAAAAATGGCAACCACAAATCCATGTTTCAGCTGTTGGATTCCAGTTGTTCCTGCGAATTGCAGCAATCCATTTGCTTCTCCCATCTTTAGATTTTGGCACTTTGTAAAAAGATATCTCTGATTGCTTGTTGAATCTATTTGTACAGTCACTACTACTCAGTGGCAGTGTAACCACAGTGGCTTCCATAGCCTGTGACGTCACGCGCATAGGTTCTATAATCACCAGACTCTGCAGTTCCCCTCAGCTCTACAGAGCATTTTTAGCTACTTTAGTGTCTTTCTGTTCATTATTTTGGTGCTAAGGCCCACACTTTTACTACCTTGGTTCAACCTCTCATGAACCACTTTTGTAGCAAAGAAACAGGTCTCAAACTTAATGTGAATGTGTCAGCTGGATATGTAAATAGGCAACTGTTTGCTAACATATTGATGATAAATATTTGCATGCAGTTTGTTCTGCTGCTCCCAGGTGGCCAGAAATGTATTAACGTTGCTTTATTTCATGGATATTTTCCAACCTCACATTAGCCACTGGTGACCATCTCTATTCTGCCTCCCCTGAGGACATTTTGTCTTTTCCTGCTATATCACCAACAGTAAAAGACATACTGTAACACACATATGTGCTATTTACACACAATCCAAATTAACAGGAAATGATGTATGATGACATTAATTGTTACATTTTATAATATGTAGTGATATAAATTAACTTATGTTTTAGGAATATGCAACATATAAGCAGAATATACTGAAACAATAAAGGTCTTAAAATAAGACAGGCCACAATATTAGCTGATGTTGCAGGACCTGGCTTGTTTCATATTGTGCTTCAGTGGGGAACATTAACTACCAAAACCGCAATAAATCAGATTACCAAAGAGCAACTGACAAGCAGTGAATCTGGCCGTCTGGATGCATGAGAGGAGTTGCCCACTTTGTTCGACTGGTAATCCAGGCTTAATGGGCACACAGAGAGAAAGAGACACAGGAGAGCAGTAGACAAGATCCTCTCCCATCATGATGCTTACATTCCCAGCATGATGTAGAAAGTGGTTGCCACATACAGTACACGATCACACACCCATGTCTCCATTCATGAATTTCTCTTTGCCCTGCCCTCTAAATGTACAGTTCACACTGTACTCACAACCTGTCTTGACACATGCATGTGTTTCACAACCCTGAAGTTCCCAGTCTGCCACATGCTACATCAACATGCTTCTATGGCAATGGTGAACCTCATGATTTAAAAATAAGCTTCTAAGAATTCTGTACCACAAAAGTGTGAATCTGCCACAAATCCTTCAACATACAATATACATTCTTTAATTGTTGTGCAATGACTGTGTTGATGCTGTATGAAAACCACCAACTAATCAAAAACAACAACACTAAATGGATCTACTTAGCACCTCCCCAAAATCTTGGTGAAAACTGAGAGAAATAAAACAAGACAGAAAAGACAGGGAGAAAAACTGGAAAAGGAATAAGAAATACAGACATACTGTAAGACGTGAGAGGACATGAGCAGTAGAAGCAAGACAACAGAGAGAACAAAAGGAAGCAAGAGAGAGACTGGCTGCATCTACTGGGCAGCATGAGTGAACGTCTCTGAAAGTGGATATGAAGGCGGATGAGCCACGCCAACCTCCTCTGACCACATTAACGAAACCTAATGGAACGGCTGGCTCCAATAGGCCTCTGTCATCCATTATCTGACTGTTGCCCCGCGCAACCGAATAGGTTCACGGTCTCAGTGGTTGCAGCTGTCTGACCCTATGTTCTCACTTTTTCTTTCTTTGTCTTATTTCAGTGGGCCTTAATGAAAATGACTGGTAAAATCAATTGCCTGGTATGTAAAGAAGCCATAATAATATTGCTTCCACCAGGCCCGTGGCCACAAATCACTGTAAATTGGTAGGAGAGGAAAGGTAAAAAAGGTGGTCATGTTTTGTATTGAGAGACAGCTGTCATCTCAGTGGACCCACCAAATCCATCATGTTGAGCAAAAAAGTAGAGTTTAAAACTTCTGACTGAATAGTGCATGTTCGGAATAACAAGTGACAGGTCAAACCAAAACCTTTCTTTGTTTTGACAGTGTGAAGCCAAAACAAATTCCTAGAGTGTATTCACACTTGGCCAAATGAAACTGACTCTACTTTTTGATATTATATAACAGTACAGTGGCAAGGCTGGATTTAAAGAGATTGTTTTTACCTTGTCATTCAGTGGTGTACCAGGCAATGTCACAAACCTTTTATAGATTTTTCAGGGGTGATCTAGAAGACAATGTTACTGGATTAGAGGAAAACTGTAAGTGCACATTCAACTCCATCATGTGCAGGACAAGAAAACTAAAACTAAGGACAATGAGAGGCTGTTGAAAATGAAAATTCCTAGTATTCCTAGCTTTTATTAGTGTGTAATATAGGACAAACATCCATGTGAACAAAATAAAGGCTAATGGGGTCAGGATCCAAAGATAGTTTAATCATTGAGAAATGATTCAACTGGTGTATCCTCCGTCATTTCATGGACCTCCCCACCTATTCTCAGGTTTATCAGCCAGATCCTTGTTGTGTTTCAAGCCTTTGCTCATTAACAAGGGGATCGTAGGGAGTGCTGTTTTTAGGAGTGAATGACTCAGAAGACTTGCTTCATAGGTCTTAGTCAGAAAGACCACCATTGTTTGCTGACAGTGGGGTCTGTGTGAAGAGCTCAGGCCCTCTTACAGTATACCTTTGGTATTCTGTGATTCTGACCTTGTCGTTGAGCAATTTAAGCACGTTGGTGTGTCCAGTGTTTGAGCAACCTGCCAGTGTGGTGAGAAAATGACAGCATCCTCTGAGAATGGGAAGGGGCAATAAAACAAGGAGGGGAGGGGAGGCTACTTACATAGGCTTGTTACATAGAAATTGCTTACTTACTGCTAGGCAGCTAATCTCTCATTAAGCCAGTACTTACCCCCACACACACTCTGACTGCACCTTTTGTTTGGTCGCACAGAGAAAGTGTTTCTCTGTGGTTAGGGGTCAGGAGCAAAGGCTAGTCTGATCCAGAGCATTCCCAGGAGCACTGGAAAGAAATGTGGACACTGAACAGCTCATGCATTGTGCGTCAGCATCTATGTGTGTGTGTGTGTGTGCGTGCGTGTGCGTGTGAGAGATTTGAGTCGTTACTGTTGTGTGCATAGTCTTCTTTGGGGAAAAAGGTTGTTTTTGGACAAGGCGGACAAATAAAAATATGGCTTCAAAAATTTTTGTGAGCCAGTGTGTGGGATGATTCTGTTTTAATAGGAAATTTAGAATTTTGAGGAATGAGATTCGTGTGACATGACTGCTGCCTTGCTGCTTATGCACCATCGACAGAACATTATTTTCTTAATGAAACAATTGCTCCTTTTTGCTTGTGTCTTTATGTTGCGCAGTATGTTCTCCTTCAACCAAACAGCGAGTTGTCTGAGCGGATCTTGTGATGATAATTTCTCAAGAAGGTGAAATCATTACCATGATTTTCAATGTCCATGCTAAATTGGTTTTGTGCTTTGTTTGCTGCTTGCCCTCTCACTAGCCTGGGCATGGACTACTCATACAACAGGAAATAATGACGCCAAGGTCCATTAAGTGGGATGGCAGGACATCATATCAGCATTAATCTCCCACTTAGCAGAGCAGCCCCCGGAGAGGGAGGGAGGGAGAGAGGAGAGAGAGAGAGAATATGATTTTCAGTTCTGGATACAGGCTTTCAGTTTTTATTACTGCATTTTATTATAATAACACTATGGGCAGAAGGTCCGGTGGAAACAAATTGCTTTTGGTGATCCCATGACTTTTCCTCTAGTGCCACAATCAGGCCAAATTTTCAGTTTTCAAATCTCTTCACCTGTTAGTCATAAACAAATTTTACTGTGCATGTAACTGCTCAAATGCATGAAGAAACTTTTGGATCTTTTTATAACCCTGTTGCTTTTTCCTCAAACCCACGCTGAAGTGATTTCATTCGACTGAATGAGTTTATCTATATCCCCCTAGTGGAAGATGAGCCAGCAAAAATATTTAAACATTTTACAAGAGGGGAAAGAAAAGATTTTTTACAATATAAATACTCTATATAGAAATACTCAAAAATGTGGCTTATGCATAGCTGACATAGGGTATACTAAGAAACAAGAGGCAGAGACACAGATGCAAACAGTTTAAAGTACATAATCTGGTCAAAACATCTGTTTGCTGTAGAACTGTCTTGGTCTTACTGACATAGCCTATCTCTCATCGTAGCTGTAAACATAAAAACCTAACATATATTTTATAAATGTTGATCCATTATAATCCTAACCAAACTCCAAACTTTAAACCAAATAATGGTCACTAAACAGACCTTATGAAAGCTATGAAAAAAGTGTTTTTGTTAAATATTGAATGCACACGCACTGTATTGTTGTAATGTGTTTATTTAGTATCTTTTTCGTATCGACTTACTAATATTTGAAATGCATTTGTTTTAATTGTCCAGCTGCAACCCTGGTATGAACGGTGCTCAACAATGTTTCATGTAGTCAGCAATGGTTTCTATGGTGTACCGCACCACCTAGTGTCATTAACTAATACACGACCTTGCAATTATGGCTGTCCTTGAAGATTCCTGGAGGACCCTTGATTCAACACAGTTTGAAATATTTACATCACGGCATGAATATTTTACATAAAGCTACCTGATTTTAATGCACATTATGATTTATTACCCATTTCCTGGCCTATGTGATGAATATGTTAATATCCCAGTCCAGATAATAGTCGTCCTGCTATTAGCCTGAACACAAATATGTATCAGTAGCTGTTGGTGGCTGGTCGGTTAGCTAAACTAGTCTCTGTTGTCAGTTTTCAAGAGCGGCAACATATGAAGTTATAATTTTTTATTCTTGTCTTTGCGCTCAATATAATAGCGACAATGTTTGAAGAGGCTAGTGAAGTGTTTGATAACATGTTTAAGTCTTCATTTCCCTTTACCTTCATTGTGTTTATCCCCGCGGTGCTGATTTTGGTGTCACCGCTCCCAGCTGAGGCTGCACATGAGTTCACGGTGTACCGCATGCAGCAGTACGACCTGCAGGGACAGCCGTACGGTAAGTCTACTGTTTCTCCAGTTTATCACTTAGCATGTATTTTAAGCTTTGCTGGATTAACTTGGCCAGAAATTAGAACTGTCTACGGCAGGTATCTCAAGCTAGCCCTGCTGTCGTATCATTTCAATGTCGGCATGCAACCACACGTTAGTTAGCTGTATAGCTGCTAATGTAGCTTAGCTTTATTGGCAAGCAGTATCCAGCTACCCCAAATCAAGATTACTCCTATAGAACTGAATCTGAAAGTCACTCTCAAGTATGTATACCCTTAATAAACTGCCCCGATTTCATGGTTATAAGTATTTATTAAATTAACAACAAAGACACCAAACTTAAAGTGAACAGGCTCACTCCTCTTCCTCACAGTTTTTTAGTTATAATGAATGTATAGACTGGTGAAATGGCTTGGGGCTATTTAAATACTCTGTAACTGTGGGACTGAGTATAATGCATATTCAGCTTTCTAGCCTGAAGTAGTATGTGGAAACACTGGCAAGGAGAAAAAGTCAAGTTAGTCCCCAAGTGTTATAATTGCAGAACTAGCAATTGCTGTTTTTTTCCAGTTGACATAAAGTCAGGAGTTAATCTATCATGAGTGATGATCAGTGTATGTGGTATCCGCAGGTACGAGGAATGCCATCCTGAACACTGAAGCCCGTACTGTGGAGGCAGAGGTACTAAGTCGTCGCTGTGTTATCATGCGACTGGTAGACTTCTCCTATGATAAGTACCAGAAAGCTCTACGCCAGTCAGCAGGAGCAGTGGTCATAACCCTACCCAAGAACATGTCTGCTATGCCCCAGGACATAGTACAGGTAAAAACATGCTTTGAAAGCCACAAATCAGTGTTGCATGCAGTGTCCTATTTTGCTCGTCATCCTCAACTAGTTCCACTCTGATTTTGTGTTCAAGTAAAATTCAGCGTTGTCACACACACATTTCCTGTGTAGTCCTCCTCTCCTACTCCAAATTAAAGTAACTCTGATATTGAGGGCTCCCTGATTCATCGTTTTGTGAGCATAATTTAGATCCCTGTGCCATCTCAGTCTCATGTGACAATGATTCTGCCATCATCATCATTTTTTTCTGGAAATCATAAGAAAAAGTATGCTTTTGAGGAGTTACTCATTTGGTTACATAATCTATTGCCATTTATGGTGAAATATTGCAGAGACTTTTTGTCAGTGTTCCAGGAAAACTTGCAGGGTTGAAGAAATTTCATTATATACTGCTCAAAAAAATAAAGGGAACACAACATAGTTGAATGTCTTATTTTTGTGTTCCCTTTATTTTTTTGAGCAGTGTATTTTCTTTTTCAGACTGAATTCTACAGCATCTCCATGTAGCAAATTAAACTGAGTGTCTTATATCCTGTTTCCTTGCGCTTGTCCTGTGTAGCAGTTCATGGAGCTGGAACCGGAGATGTTGGCTACTGAGACTGTTGTCCCCGTGTACTTTGCCATGGAGGATGATGAGCTGCTGTCCATCTACACCCAAACCCTGACCTCCTCCTCCTCCCAGGGCTCTTTGTCGGCAGCTGAAGGTGAAGTGGGAAGGAAGTGGTGATAGGCCTGGAACTGATTCTTTATGATTGATTGCTTGCTTTCTTTCTTACTCTTTCTCAAGTCTCAATGCCCCTGTATTGCGCACACACACATGAGACAGAAACATATATATGATATTGAAAGTCTTCTTCTCTTAAACTGACAGGACATGTTGGGTGGGCATTCTGCGTGATACGAAAATACACAAATCAAGTCAAATAATCTAAAATATTTCAGAAAGAAATAGAAGGGGAATTTTACTCTGAAACATTGTTGCTGTTTGTGTTTTCTGTAGTGCTGCTGCACACAGCCACAGCCAATGGCTTCCAGATGGTAACCAGTGGAGCTCAGAGTAAAGCCATCAGTGACTGGGCCATCACCAGTTTAGAGGTGAGAGATTTAACAGATTAGCCTGTTATTCTTTTGAATCATGTGACAACATCTCCTAAGTAGAAAGATAATACTTTCATTATTGATCTTATGTGTTTATTTTCTTCCCCCTTTTTGTTTCTGAAGAACTGATTTAAAATAGAAGAAATTGTTTGAGGGCTGCACAATCCCTAGCGAGGACAAGGGAGCATTTAGTTTGCAAAAGCATCTCTCTGCTGATGCTAGCACAGCAAAATCATTGTCATGTGAGACTGAAATCGTATTAGGGTCCAAATTGCAGCTGAAAAATGATTAATCATACAGACATAGTGCAAAATCTTTATAAATACTCTCAGTAGCAGCAGGCTGATGTTACAGTACCATTGGGCAGAACAGTGACTTGGTGGTCAGGACTAACAGCCAGAATGGCTTGAGTTTACCTGAGTCGTGGTTCGTTCTGTGTGAGTTTTGTGTTGGCATTGTTTTCTTCTGAGAGCTTGATCCAGTTGTATGATAAAGACCAGTTTCTCAAGTTGTTTGAGTAAAGGGTTAAAAGGCCATGCAACTCCAGTGTAATGGTTGTGCCTGTTAATAATAATGTTAATTGGGGCATTGATAGACCTTCTGGCTTGTTTGTGGGCTTTAGCCCAGGCAATAGATTCATTATTTAGAAAAATATTTTGGATTGTTTTTAAGAGACTGCTTTGTATAATTTTTACTCTACCTGTATTGAAAGAGTCAAACCTTAATTATTGGAATAATAGAGCCTTCCACTATGAACATGTAGATTAATTAATATTGGTGAGAGGCGATATTAATGTCATTCTGAAACAGTTTTTGTTCAGGTGTCTAATTTCACCATTTCTTCCTTTCTGCTCTTACTACATGAAGGGATTTGTAAGGCACTGTTTACTGGTTCAAGGTGATTTTATAATCTAATAATTGGAGTCATAAAGGGTGCAAAATAAAGCAGCAGAGTGGTGTCAGTTTAGGATTTCTAAGCTGAGCTTGGTAATAAAATTAGTGGTTTAGTCACATTGCAGGGGATCAGGAGACAAACAGGTGGTTTTTCATAAGTCTGTGGTCAGGAGGTCGACCATGACTGTAACCCACTGCGACACTGCACGGTTTTGCTACCATCCTAAATCAAAAACTCCAAATGCACTTTTTTTATTTCCAGCTTGTCTCTGTTGTTGTTATTTACCAGGGCCGTCTGGCTGGAGTTGGAGGAGAGGATCTTCCCACTATTGTCGTGGTGGCTCACTACGACTCCTTTGGTGTTGCTCCAGTATGTTCACTGCTTCCTTTTACTTACAAATCATCCCCAACACCTTGAAAACATTAAGGGAACTTAGCAACAGAAATATTTTGTCTGCAAGTATTTGTAGAATTTGGTTACATTACTTTGTGTACTATGTATACGTGTCCAAAAACTCAAACTTTATACAGTAAGAGTAATGCAACACAACTGCCAGTAAAAAGGAGAGCAGGCTGGAGATGTAATCTGCTCTGTGTGTGTTGCTGTGTGCAGTGGCTGTCGTACGGAGCCGACTCAAACGGCAGCGGAGTATCCATGTTAATAGAGTTGGCTCGCCTCTTTTCAAAGCTCTACACCTACAAGAGGACGCACGCGGGGTGAGTAGCGACGCTGAGACTCACAGTCAGACTGTTTTTGGATCATGTTGTGTCAGACATCACTAGGAGCCGTTTTTAAACTGTTTTAGCTGCAAACAAAAAAAGTTTCCTATTATTTCATCATTTGAACACAAACTCTACGCTCAGTCACTTTAGGCATTGTCTGTACTGTATATGGTGAAACAGACGTTTTGATAGCTCATCTCTGTAGTTATTCTGAACATCGGTCTATTTGGGTTCATCGTGTTTAAGGTCAGTGTCCTGCTCTGAATACTTTTTGAGAACTATAGTAAACATTATCTGTGCACTCCACCAGTTATAAAAATCTCATCTGACTGTTAAACACTTAAAGCAGGCAGCAATGTGGCACCGACTCCTTATATCTACTTCAAAATGTACTTAACAGTAGCTGAGTGGAGGGTGTATTGAAAGGAATAATGGACTTTACTGTAACTGCACTGCAAAATACAGAGTTGTCTGTGTTGAATCAAAGTCAGCACTTGCTCGCCGCGTCCATTTTAAAGTATGCCTTGTGCTTTGTTTCCCACACACTGATGATCCCCAAGCACTGAACTCTAGTCACTATGTCTACATATTCTTGTACCCAGAGGTGGAAAATAACTAAGTACATTTACTTAAGTACAATTTAGAGGCATCTGTAGTTCGAGTATTTTCATTGTCTTCTACTTCATACTTCAACAGTATTTTACTTTTTACTGCCCTGCATTTATTTCATAACTTTAAGTTACTTTTTAGGATCACATTAATAAAAGAAAATAGAGTATAATCTTAATGATTCTTATAAGCTGCCCAGTACTTCAAAATATAAGCATATAAGGTAGTTAAATTTAGCTCCACCTTTTCCAGCTGCAACATAAAATATGGACACAACAGTGCATCAATTAGAATCCAATAATGTGGCATACATTAATGTGAAATATGCCTTTCTGCCTAATGATTACTTTTACTTTTGGTAAAAAGTCCTGGCTATGTGGCCACAGGACTTTAATTTGAAACTGTTTTTTACATTGTGATGCTGCTACTTTTACTGAAGTATTTCTTTCACCACTGCGAGTATCACACATCATCCTTCACCTGATTCTTGGATTAATGTCTTGTAGGTTCGAATAATGTGTGAATCCTGTTTTGTTTCCAGGTACAATCTGCTGTTCTTTGTGTCTGGTGGAGGCAAGTTTAACTACCAGGGTACCAAACGTTGGCTGGAGGACAACCTGGACCACACAGGTAGTTTTAGAATTTTTAGACAGCTGACAGTTTACAGAAGGCGGCGTAATGATTCATGCTGCTAGGTGTGTTTCAATGCACAATATGTGAGCCATGGTTTAGGGACTTCTAAGAATTGCATCACAAATGTTTTAATGCTAGTTCAAGTGAACTTCGTCCAACAACCTGGGAACTTTCTTTCCTTAAGTTGCAATGGAACAGGACGACTGATTAATGGGAGCATCCACAGTTTTACCTCTACATACAATTTTTAATTTCATTTCTGCGTTTAAATGTAAGCTGTGCCCTTTCTTTCCTCAGCCTGTCCTTCAGTATTCATTAACTTCTCTGTTTTACCTCTCCTTCCCTTCGACAACAGACTCCAGTCTGCTGCAGGACAACGTAGCCTTCGTGTTGTGTCTGGACACTCTGGGGAATGGAGACTCTCTGCACCTCCATGTGTCCAAACCTCCTAAAGAGGGAACTTCTCAGTATTCTCTGCTGAAGGAGCTGGAGATGGTAAGAACTTTGAGGCTTGAGTCACCTCAAGCTTGCATAAAATGTCAGAATACACTCCTATTTGGTGGCATAAGAGTGACCTCCATAACATACAAGGAGATGTACGCTGAAGTGCAAACTCAGCATATTAGTGTTGCAGATACAGTGGCAAGAAAAAGTAAGTTTTAAGATGTACTGTTTTTCTGTCCACATCTCTTCCTCCCAGGTGATTACAAGTCAATACCCAGAGGTCAAATTCTCCATGGTACACAAGAAAATTAATCTGGCCGACGACATGCTGGCCTGGGAGCATGAGCGCTTCGGAATCCGCCGGCTGCCGGCCTTCACTCTGTCCCATCTGCCCTCACACCGCCTGGCTCAGCGCTCCAGCATCATGGACGTGCGGTCAGTGTTCCCCTCTTCTCGCCACGGAGCGGGAGAGCCCCCTGCTGGGTGGGTTCATTACTGCAAGTCTCTGAGTCACAAAAATCAAAAAAACCTTCCTTTTGTAGTGGCTTTCATTCATGTCGTAGGTGTTCTAGGCCCATTTCCTTTCACTTCACCTGACCCACTGTGCTTTGTCACATCATGTTGAATCCTTCTTGGACTGGAGCATTGTAGGGCCATAGCTTACTTTGTCCATGACTATGTATTTTCTTTTGTCAGATCTGCTGTGAGGTTTGAGATTTGATGCTTTGTGAGTGTGGTAGTAAACCCTTTGTCCTCTTTTTTTCCACTTTCATTTTTGTAATACTCTTACATCTCCCTGTCTCTCTGCCTACTTGTAGACCATGTATCTATCCTGTTTGAGCATTTTGCATTTGACTTGTGTTTTCACAAACTTTCTGCATTTCAGCCTGTGTAGAAGTGGATGCTCTATAATCAGATTGGGGTCTCTCCGTTGTTGCTCAGGGTTTTAGGTTTCTCCTCCAATGTTTTGGAGTTTTCCCACCTTCTCCAACTGATTGGAAACTTGTTTGTCTTACAGGCCTCATGTTGATGTGAAGAAGCTTAGCAGGAACACCAAGGTGGTAGCAGAGGCTCTAGCTAGGGTCATCTACAACCTCACAGAGAAGGTATAAACAGATGGACAGAATTTGAGACATACATACTATGCCTGTTTTCTGCTTGTGATGTGCTTGTCATTTGTGTGCTCTGTTGCACAGGGAGCCCCTGGAGACTTGCGAATCTTCACTGAACAAATGGTAAGTCTGTAAACTTGGCTGCATTTCTGCAATGAGTCTGATACCTCATTCAGATCATTGACCCAGTTTTAAATCAAGTATTAGGTTTTGCAAATAGTTGTGATTTCTGTAGTTTAACAAGGTGGAATTGCATTGACAGTTCAAAGGAAATGTATTTGTTACTCCATTTATTTTACTAATAAAAACTTTGCTACTTCAGGTTGATAGTACTGACTATCATGACACTGCCACATCCATCTCTCCCTCTCGTTTAACATAAGAGGCTACAGTCATCTTTCATTTTAGCTTGTTCATAATAATTAGCTTAACAAGTGTGCTACGTTAAACTGCTGGTGGATGACAAGACTGCAAGCAAAGCTGTAATAACTTCTCCAAGTTTCATGGGTCTTTGGATAGATTATTTTTACCGACTTTCTCCTCATGGAGGTTTTATTGTACATACACTAACAAGGCTTAGGTGCTGTCGCCTTGAGTAATGTTTCACTTCATCCAATGAGAGCACTGGATTTATAACAAAATGAGAGCATCATTGCAGAGCAGAGTGTGGCACAATAATCAGTCTTTAATCTTTATGAAAGGAAAATAATATTAGAAGCCAAAATTGTAATTGATATTAAAATTCAATTAATTGTCCAGCACTATCACAAACTCGTCTCAGTATCACTCTGTAACATACTTGAACTGGAATTCACTCAACCCTTAAGATGTTCTTATGAGGGCACAGATTGCCAAAGAAAAATAATTTGCAACATTTTTTTTAATGACATTGTGTTGCCATTCTAAATATTTTGAATTTTATAGTGTAAAATTGGTTACTTGTGAAATTTGAAAGCAAAAAATATTTATTCCCAATTAGTTTGACCACATTGACTGCTCTCCATCCCAGACTGGTTGCTGGTAAATCTCTGTAGCTACATAAGCGACTGTTCATGCTGTAGGTTACTGTTGTAAAACAGTTTGTGTCACATTAGGAGGTGCAGGAGGAGCAGCTCTCAGCAGTGGTGGACTGGCTCACTGCGCAGCCCCGAGCCGCCCAGCTGGTAGACAAAGACAGCAGCGTGGTGTCCACTCTGGAATATCACCTTGGACGCTACCTCAAGGATGTCAAGAAACACTACGTCAAAGCCGACAAAAGGTAGAGACAAACATCAAACTCATATTTTTACTGTAAGCAGAAGAAATGTCAACTATATATATTCTACAAAACAGTGCTGCTCTTTTAAAGTCCTTTATCTTTCTATCTGAAAGAGTACATCTAACTAGAACAGACGATCCTAGTATTTGATAATAAATCAGACAGCACTGTGCTGAACGCTTTACAGTAATGATCTGGGTTATTGTTGGGTGTAAAGGACTATTTCAGGATTTACTTTTTAATTTATCTGTAGCACTGGCATGTTTTCTGTCATGAATTAAACCAGTGACAGAGCAAAATGTAACAAAATTTCAACATGTACCGAGTCTCTCCAGTGTATTTAATGTATATTTGGACCCGTTTTCTACTCGTACTGTTTTAAGTGATGGATTTGAACTCTTTCGTCCTCAGGGATCCAGAGTTTGTATTCTACGACCAGCTCAAACAGACGATGAATGCATACAGGTACGCTGTAATTAGTACTGATCCACTGTAGCTTCATTGAACCTCAAGGCTGTGGGTAAAGTTGTGAGGTTATCTTTTCTGGTTTCAATAAATCCTCACTTTTTATTTCACCCTTTAGGTTTCACCTTCCCCTAATATAGTCCAAACATTACAACCAGCCATCACATAATGTCAGAGATAACATTTTGCCATTTCTCTTGTGATAATCACTCCTCTCTATTTCTGTACCTCTCAGAGTGAAGCCTGCTATTTTTGACCTGCTGCTTGCTGTCTGCATTGCAGCCTACTTAGGGGCGATGTATCTGGCTATCCAGGTAAGTTGTCTGTAGCTCCTTTCAGACAGGCACCACATTACACAAGTGTCAGTTTTACATGTTGGTCTCATGTGAATAATGGCAAACTTACTATGTTGCTAAGCTTGTAATATTTCTGTAACCCTACAAGTCTGAATTAAAATGAATTCTGTCAGGTAAATGTAAAGGCTGCAGCACAAAGTTAACTGTCTAATTACACCTTTATATCACTAATAAATGCATCAATATTAATTGTAGGGACAATGTATTTTTGTAGGTCATTAACTAGAATGGTCATTAACTTAAGACTGCAGAATAAAATTTTCTTTATGTTCATATTGTTACTTGACAGCTCGGTGCTCCACCACATGGTTAATATTGTGGGCACACTGGTTCCTTTAACTGTTGCATCATGTTTGAATAAAGCAGAGTTCACGATTGAGGCCATTGCTTTGACGGCGACATGCTTGTCCATGTTTGAAAGGTGTTTGTAGATGTGCCGTTTTGTGGAGGTCTTCTTGCCTGTAATCATGAAATAAACACAACCTCTGGTCTTGTGGTCTTTTTACAGAACTTTGGAGTCTTGTACAGCGTTGTCCGTAGAATCACCCAACCCAAGGCAAAGGCTCACTAAGTCTCCAGACCCTACCTTTTTTTTTTTTTTTTTACTAAATCAAGGAACTCTCTAACCAGTAAGATCTCAGAAGCTGGGCCAAGCAGTTGTTCTCTTGGTGGTTTTTAAACCAGCAAAATCACTTCCATTTCCTTCATCCTGATCCTCAAACGATGTCAGATCCTGTCCTGCTGCCAACATAATCCATTTGGTCTCCTGGACCAGAATAATCAGGAATTGTTTGTCTCACATCACTCATTTCAGGTAATTCCTTGCATTGGAATATTTTATCATTTGACTCTGAGAAGTCTAAACCATTTGTCCACATCAGAGGTGGAGACAAGATTAATCGAGTTTGTGCTGCTGTACCATTGATTGCTGAAAAATGAGCACTCTGCCTAACTGATGTCATGTGCCCTCTCCTGCAGCCAAAAAGGAGAGTTTAGCCTAGATTTTTGTTAAATGATAGGCTCACGTTTTCAAATCTGTCTTAATACAGGACTCGCGTTCCTATAAAAACTTAATTGCTGTAATAATTTTCTCTCTCCACTGTCCTTGTTCTGTCTAAAGACACTTTCTAAAATTAAGCTCAAGATAAAACGAGGCTTCAGCCGTCTGGGGTAATGAGAAAGTTGAAAATTCCCTCATCAGCGAGAAACTGAAGCATGAAAACAAGGATTAACTTTGGAATGCATTTTTGCACAGAAAGGACTGTGGATTTGTCAGCAACTATTTTCAGTTATCTGTTGATTAGAAATGTGAAAAATAGAGTAATGCTCAGGACCAAAAGACAAAGGTATTCAATTCACAATGTTTGGCTTTTGTGTTTGATAACTTGTTGCTTCAGTCCTGCATGTCCTCACTGGACCTGAGGAGCAATTGGAGTACACAGCAACTGTTTCAGTGCAAATGTGGGAAATGCGAGTACTGAGTTAAGATGCACAAACTGTAGCCTTCAACTCCTGTCGACCACAAACATTTATAGAAAAGATGAATCGTCTAAATATGTAGTGTTTAGGTAATCCAGATTTCATCAAAACAAATGAAAGGAAGTCACCTGGACAACTGTAGATTCCACTTTAAAATTCTCCTTCTTGCTTTGTCACTTTTTTTTTAAAATCCAGAATTGATATACAGCCATCAGAAAACCCAAAAAGTCACATGCAACAAACCTTCTCCAAGTAAAACACACGTTTAGTGTGTAAGAGGACAACTCCAGCACACAGATCAAAACTCCCACATCAGTCGGCACATGTTTAACGTGCCGACTGAGTGGCTTTTTCTTCTTGACTTTATTTTTTAAAGCTGTGTTCAGATTTTGGCCAAGCTAGCACTGGAGTATTTATACAGTGATCGTCTTAAAATTAGGGAACCAACACAAGGGGTGTGAAATTAATGGGGAAAATATGTAAACCTCAAATATTCAATTAGATGTTTGTGTCCTCCTTGGTGTTTTTTTGTTTGTTTGTTTGTTTTCCATGCATTAACCTGTGACACCCCCTCCCAAAACACAAAGGAAATACTGTGTAGAAATTTTTATTTATTAATTAGTTTTCACATGTGCACTGAAATGAACTTAAACTCCTTTAGTTTGAGCTCTGTTTCACTTTATCCACAACATTTGCAACAGTGATATCAGATGTGATTAAAAAAAAACTGCGAAAATATATCAAGGAATGTTTACTGGCATATTTTATGGGAAAAAACAGTGTTGGCAGAATATTAAAATTGTATTACAAAAGATCAAGTGGTCCAATTTGAAACAGTTTGAAGGAAAATATAGGTCAGTTTCATCTTGTACATATTGATGGTCCAAAAACAGGTATTAAATATTTAGTGAGTCGTAAAATTCCCAACTTCCTCCTTCCATTTTTAAATTTTGATCTGCTAACAAACTACAAAAATCATACAGATTAAATTACAATGCACTTCATAAATATCTGCGGGGTTTTCTGCCTGTCACTTTTTACTTGTTCTTGACTTTGCTCATCACCAGCTCCCACAAACACTCGTCTCAGTCTGGGTGGATGTTTTGGCACAATCCAAACATTAATGGAGATCGTTTGTGTCAATGAAGAGAAGCCTGTGAGCCCGTTCAGATGGACAAATCACATCACAGGTTTTGCATAACAGCGGTCGAGTCAGTTTGCAAACACTGCTTCAGTTTTTGTCATCACTCACTGATCTTAATCTCAACACCAGCAACATCATACTGTCACAAGTCCACTGCAGGCTTGGCAGTAAAGTGGTGCTGCTACTACCAGGGTTTTTAAACCACTCGGTTTACAAACATTGCTCTGTGGCTGATTTTTGCGGGAGACACCTTGTCAGAGCTTAGACATCAATATTCTGAACTATACATTCACAGAACCAATCTGTTCCAGATGAGTATATCTGACTGAAGTGAACTTCACCCATGCAACGTTTCCAACAACCTATGACCCGAACAGCAAGCCAGTGTGTCGGGTGTTTAAATAACTCTCCAAAATCCATACAGAATGCAACTTGACAAATCTCTGAATCTTCTTCAGTTATGGGTAATTTTGTCAATACTGGGTAGTAATCAGGAGCAGCATACCTTACATCCTCTTTCATGGTGTACATTATTCCATATGATAATGGATCAAATGAGGTATTTATGCTTAGTTACTGGTAATCCAGCAAATACTTAAAATCAAAGTACTTGGATGCAAAAAAAACTCATGAAACAGCTCACCGAACACTTCACAAAAGCCAAATATACCCAGAGAATTTAAAAAGACAATAACTTCCTGCCAGAATACCATGCTATAAAACCAATCAGTTGTACAGATCTGATATTCAACACAGTAGCATGTTTGATCAACCATGTTGAACAGTACAGATGTCTAGTGACCACAATAAGACTGATGTAGGCCAGCACTTAGATTAAAGAGGATTAAAGAGGTCGGAGAATAAATCCAGATTTTTGCAATGTAGATTAACAAAACACCACCTCCCTGGTCCCTGGAAACATCTGATCCATCACAACACAACAGAACAACTGGAATACAATCAGTGCTCTCATAGCAAAAACAAAAAATTCTAACCTGAACTACACCAATAACTGACATCTGAGTGCTGACATGGGGACTATGGAAGACAAACAAAAACAGAACGGACGAGATCTGCAGCCTACTCTGGCAACACAAGCCTGCTGTTCAATAAAACAAGCTTGAAGTTTGATCAAGAAGTTAGGAAGACTAGGAAAATCCTTTACTTTCTACTGGTGCAACAGCTGGATCCATGTAACATATGCAAGGTGAACCAGTGGATTTCTGCTTAACCAGTCAAATGAGGTTCATCTCACACTGGTTTTTATGGTTGTTTACCAGAGCTGTTCAATGGCCATTGCTGCTTCATTTTAGAGTGCTAAGATGTTAATAAGTACGCTGTAATGACATGGCAAGAGGATTTTTTTTTCCTGTTTAAGACAATTTCATAGCATATTTCCAAAATCAATCCCAAGTCATGTATTCCTCAATACCATAAAGTGCACTCATATTTTTATCATACTGATTTTTTTTAATATATATCTTTACACAACTGCTGAGCTGCTGTTGTGATCTCTTCTGAACGCTGGCAACTGCCACCACCACCCATCAACTCCTTATATTATTCAAATTTATTCAAATCCCATTTTAGTTAAATTCAATCATGAGGACGGCACTGAAGCCTAGTTAATCGATCCTAAATATTTGCTATCATTAAACCAGCAATCAGCCTGTATGCCTTCATGTCAGTGCAGCAGATTCACACAGAACACAGAGGATAGGGGGAAAGAAATTCCTTGCATGAATGCAAAGCCAATATTCCCAAAGCACGTTTATCTTCAGGATGAAGAGAAACTGAGGTGAAATGTTGTGAAACGCGTAACACACACATTAGTGTGGCTTTTCCATCGAAATGAACTGATGCAGGGGGTCAGAGCTGTGGTCGCCACCACTGACTTGTGCAATGATATGAAAACTAATACACATGGTGAAACGGCACCAGACAAATGCCAGGCAGGATCTCCTTCATCACCACAGCCATGAGAACTATGTCATGTTTCCCATTAAGTCTTTTGTCTTTGTGTCAGTGAGGCTGAAAGGAAACGATCACTGACAGTAATCACAGCTCACCTCTACAGAAGCAGCGTACTGCTGGCTTACCAGGTCACTTAAAGTTACTACAGACCCACCACAGGCCTAAACTTTTCCGTGTGTGGGTGCTGCAGCGTTGCTAAGGGTGACAGTGATGAATACAATACCCTGTTCTACTGTATGTGACAATTAGTCACTAATTGTTTTTTTCTCTGAACCTACCAACTGTAAAGTTAGCAACAAAGTCGCTTAAAACATCATTCACAGTATTGTAATAAAATTAAAACACAGATCAGAACCACAACAATGAAACAAAATGTTCTAAAACAAGTAAAAATAAAAACTACGCCCTGTTCTCCTCATCTCCCCTTCAGCGTTAGCTGTCCCAGCAGGGCGTCTCTGTACTTGTATCCAGGTGGTGGCGACAGAGAACCTGTTATAGACTCTTCTCCTTGACTCCATTCTGCACATGCTTCCTGCAAAGAGAGACAGACGACAGTAAGTGAAGGAAATGAGGAGAAAATAAGTTGTCAGGTGAAGTGATCACCAGGTGTGAGGCACAAACAGGCAGAGGGGACATCCGCAGTGTTCAAGGCCATGCAGATAAGGAGCTTCACATAATCACCTTTGCATACGATTCTATCTACAACCCCAAATCAGAAACCATTGGGACAGTATGTAAAATCCAGATTTGAACTGAAAACTGTGTCCTGTATTACATTGAAAACAATATAGCAGCACATTATTGATGCGATACCTCATCACTTTTATTCCGATGAAACATGCTTCAATCCTGATCCCTGCAGCACATTCCAAAAAAAGTTGGGACTGCTGCATTTGGTAAAACAATAACATCATGATTCCACTTGACACATGCGATGTCAACAGGTGACTGCATCATGATTTAGTACAAAAGTGGCATCCAGGAAAGGCCTAACCCTCTAGTAGCAAAGGTGGTCCGAGGAGCACCAGTTTGCCAACATATGCATGAGAGAATTTGTGAAATGTTGAAAAGATAGTTAAGAAGGGATTTGGATACATCACCCTCTACGGTGCATAACATAATTAAAAGACTGAAGGAGTCTGAAGGGATTTCAGTGTGTAAAGGACAAGCACGCAGGCCTAAGCTGGATGACCGTGCGCTCCGGTCCGTATATTGTGGTCAAACAAATCAGTGTTTTAGGTCTTTTTTTTTTTTTTGGAAGGAATGGATGTCGTGTGCTCCTGACCAAAGATGAAAAGGACCATCCATATTATTACTAGCAACAAGTCCAAAACCCAGGGGTCTGTCATGGTCATGTCTGTTGTGTCAGTGCCTTTGACAAAGGTCACTTCCACCTCTGTGACGGCACCATTAATGCTGAAAAATACATCGATTTTTTTGATGCAACATATGCTGCCTTCAATACGACATCTTTTCCCAGGGATGCCCATGCATATTTCAACAAGACAATGCAAAACCTCATCCTGCACACATTACAAAGGTCTGGCTCTGGAGGGAAAGGGTGTGAGTGCTGGACTGGTCTGCCTGCAGTCCCGATCTGTTTCCTTACACACGTTTCCTTACTGTGCATATGACAACAAACACTTTGACTTGGTGTCTTCAGTCCCTAAAACACCTTAAGTGTTATGAAAAGGAACAGCAACATCACACCATGGTAAATGCTTTACTGTCCCACCATCTTTTGGAATGTGTTGCAGGAATCAGGATTAACGTGTGTTTAAAATAAAGAATAAAACTGATGAGGTATCACATCAAATAATATGCTGCTGAATTGTTTTCAATACAGGACAGATTATTTACAAATCACTATTTTCAGTTTTAATTTTCATTTAACATACTGTCCCAACCTTTTCTGATTTGGGGTTGTACCTATGAGGGTTGCTGGTTACACAAACTCTGTAGGAGAGCTGTTCTTGTTGCAGCTACACCTGCCTTAAGGAGGAAAAACCAAGACAGCTCAGACCGTGTCCATTTCTCTTTTCGGCAACTTTTCTGTACTAATAGAAGTTGTCAGCAGTTTTGGTGTCAGAGCTGCAGTGGTCAAAGGCTGCCTTGACAATCATCATAAGGTGATAGGGGGTATACATGACAGACAAGACTCAAGGCAGCCCCATTGATGAAGATAGATGAATCCATAACTTCAGATAAAAACAAATATACTTTGGTTTTAGTCAAGTTAGCATTTTCTTGTTGAAAGCTCAGCAGGTCCTGAGTATTCATTTCCACATTAGGAAAGACCACTGTATCATACAGTGGCTTTTTTGGAAGTACATTTGAAAAGCTGCAATGCTCCGTTACATTCAACGGCATCTCCTTTTATAGAGCAATGATGATCATTAGATACTTTGTCAGTAACCTTTCCTTGCTGATCCTAGCTTCTTTGTCCAGCTCAATGACAGACTCCATTACTAATCACCGTCGCCTTTTTACCTTCTAAAAATGACTTGTCTGATTGTTTATTTAAGTGGTGGTAATACTGTTAGCAAACACGGCCATATTTATTGATAGTCATTTCCAAAATGATACCACATTTCTCCAGAAAAGTTGCAGCTTCCTGTCAAATCAAAGAAAAATTCTAAATCATTTCACTTAAAGAGTTGAATGTCACTTTAAAAGATAGTGCTGTGTGTGTGGCTGACAAACAAAACTGCAGATGTTGGCAGGATAATTCTGAAATTAGAGCATCAGACACAGAGGTGGATGCCTTAAATGTTTTGCTGCACACCGCCAAAATAAGAACCAGCTGGCGGATGCACAGGGACACCGAATGTGAAATAACATGGTCCATCTCCATGCGCACATGCATGCGCGCACACACGCACTACAGTATTTAACGGTCATTTTCACAGCTGATGATGAGTGTAGGTGGTGGGGCAGAGAGTGTCTTGCAGCACCACCTTCACCACCACCAGGAAATGAATTCAGAGGTCTCTGTCAGAGTGAATGGCCTGAAGGTGCTGCTCACCCCTGAGCAGCGCTGTGATGTCCAACATCATCGCCATTTTCTGCCCGAGGGTCTCGGTGCAGACGTGCTGCTGCCAGGCTGCTGTCCTCGTACTCCCTGACGTCATTCACCTCCTTCATCTTCAGCACTTTCACTATGAAAACCACAATAAACTACAAGACAGATTGTGTCATTGTTGTGGCTCTTTTTCTTAAGACAACACTGGCCATGAATAGTTTCCCATTTTGTATAAATAAACAAAAAAAAAATGGCCTGCCATTTAATCCAGAAAATCTTAAAACCATTAAGCCTTTCAGTATTTGGGTATGTCCTCACCAAAAACCAGTAGATGTTCATGAGCAGCAACATAAAGAGAAGAGCATTGAAGAAGAAGTAGAAAGGGATGTTGGGCACAAACTGGAGGCTGGAAACACATGTGGTAAACAGCACTTTGAGAGGGAACCAGTACAGACGGAACAAGAACCTGAGAGAGGAGCACAGACCGGAAATAGAAAGGTTACACATCTATTCATCTTCAAGAGTGACAGAAAAATGATGCTGTCAAAACTACAAAACATTCAACTGAGACAGAGAACAAATGGTACAAGAAGAGAGGAGGGGGAGAGAATGAATCAAACCAAATGTGTGTGTGTGCTGAAGCTCACCAAGTGATGCTGAAGCTGACAGAGACCACATCAGACAGGATGTCGTTGAGCCGGTGATAGCCTCCACCTCTGGACTTCAGGTAGATGTTGAGCTTGATGAACTCCAGCTGGATGTCACCGATGTCGTGGAGGAACAACACCAGGATCCCTACGTTGTGGTACCTGAGCGGCAGGGAACAGTGTGTCTTTTCAGCTTTATTTCTAATACAAGGCCCAAAACATTTACAGGAAAACTGTTAGTGAATAGGAGTTGTACAGTCAGCAGAAGATGAATAAATCCCTGTCGCGATGCTGGGTTTTTGTGTGGTGTAGCTTTCTGTGCTTTTTATTTAATTATATCACAATTTTATTTAATTACATACTGAACATTTCACTGGCATTTCTAATACTGGCTGGATGAGTTTTGCTGAACTCTTTTCTATGACTGTGAACTGTGACTCTTTGTCTCTAGTTTTAAGTTAACATTTGATTTCCAGCCAGAAACCTGCAAGCCCTGAACTCTTCATTATTATATTAGTGCTTCAGTGCTAATGTTTGGGTGGCCCAGAAAACCAGAAAAGTGAAAATCATCCAAACAAGTTTCTGTTCTGGATCTTTGGCTGCCATAATGCATGAATCAAGACTAATGCTGCCAAGTGCTGCAAGTGTATTAATGAACTACAGTAACTAGTTTTTTTTCCATCACATATGAGCATCAGTTCCTGTGGCTGTGCCCGCTCTACATCTTGGACATTCTGAAATTTCATTTTTTGAATATGTGATGCAAAGTGTGACAACATTAAGTGGACAGAAATACCTGAAAGCATATGAGAAGCTAATAAGTGCCAGTGTGATGATGTGGTGCACCACCATGACAGCAGAGTCCTTCCTCCATGTGTCCATGTAGAATGTAGCATAGATGGAGTGGGCGTAGAAGCTGCCCTGCATCAGGTAGGCTATGGCGATGTTTGTAGGCACTGGCATACCACTTTTCCAGTCTGGATGAATAGGTAGGAGACATGAGGAGAGGTTAGGGTCTGATGCATAAAGTGGAGGAGCTCAGTTGTCAGTTTAAAATAAAAAAAATAAAAAAATGGATAAGGCAGCTTTAGGAGAGAGCTGCGATTCCTCACTAACCTGACCTACTTTTACATCAGAAAACACCATTTTTCATCCTGTTTCTTTGTTATCAAGACATCTTAAAGCCCAATTTAGAGATCTGAATACATTTTATTTTTCAAGGAATCCCAACCCAATAATGCTCCTGTATCAACATAAATAAAGCACTTTTTTGCGCTTTAAACACATTAAGATGTGCCAAATCAAAGCAAGCTAAATCCAATTTTAAGGAAAATATATCTACAGTAAACTGTTGCCATTCAGAAAACTACCCAAGTAATACAATTATTTAATGTTAAATGTGTCAATTATTTTTTTATTCAGTTTTTAAATAAGTCATTAAGTGGACAATAAAATAAACAATTTTAAAGGACACAAATTTTGGTTAAACAGTTTTTTTTTGTTTTTTGTTTTTTAAATACAGCTATTTAATTTAAAGACACTTCTCTTAAATGGACAGACATAGAGTAAATGTAGCCTAATAAAAAGGTCCAATCCACAGAGAAGAAATTGATTCATCTGCTGAAGATGATGAATACGTTGTTTATACAGCAGGATTAACACCGATACACAGCTGGGGTATTTTAACCTTGACAGAGTTAGACTGGGTTTCTGAAGTATCACAGGCACAACAGGCCAAATGCACACCAACACTGCTAGGTGGACTCATGTCTCTGAAACCCATCAGATGTTGAGCAGACACTTCTCTGGTGTTTGAATAAGGTTTGTCTCTAGTGGGACAACCTTGTGTAAGGTTTACTGACTGGGTGTTCTGTCAATAAACAGAAGGAGGCTGCTAGATGGATCATGACAGAAGAGCTGCCAAGTGGGGCCATGGGAACTGGAGCCCTTTTTTCCTCCCAGAGACCAAGGCTTTTTTCTTCTCTTCAGGACACACAGACACACTCTCCCCCCTCTAATCTGCTGCTTTTTCTTCTCCTTAGTTACCAAATTCTTACATTTTCTTTCTAGCTTCATATGTCTCCCTCCCTCACTCCCTGACAGTCCTACCGCATTACAATGTTTGTGCACAAGTCTTAGGCTGACAGCTCTGAGAGGCGATGCAGCGATTAGAGACGAACCTGGCACTGTCACCCAGCCTAGCTCCACTCAGACAATGGAGCTGGATGGGAGCCCTGACACCTCCATGTCTTATTAAAGAGGCAGAGACACTAGAAAAGACTGCTTGATTAGAAGTGGAATCCTCGTTACACATCTATTGTGCATTAGCAACTCGGCGATAGTCACGCTACAAGAAGGTCATGATTCTGTTCTCCATTAGGTTATGCAGATAATTTTATTATGCTGGGAGACAATTTAATGCAATATGTGATAAAACTTTGCTTTCAGTTGGGTAGTTGTTACATAATTTGTGTCTTCTGATCACCCTCAAAAGTATATAACTTGTACTACCACATCATTACAAAATAGCAAAAGAAAGATACCAATGCAAGGCTCTGAATGTGCATGAACCACTAGGCTGCATATCCTGTATGTACTGTTATAAATAGCTATCTACTCCTACTTAATGTGGCATTTTACCCTCAGTCTCTATAGGATTAGACTGTCTACTGTTGATTAAAAGGGCATCAGCTCCCTATCTAGTCATAGGTTAGATAGGAAACTGGTTCAGTACAGTATGGACTAGCTACAAACAATGAAAATGAATAAAAGGACTAAAGTGACTGATTTAATTAAATACTGACATTAATTTAACCATTAAAACATCTGACTTTGATGTGATGAGGTGCAGAGACAAGTGATTCAGTTAACAATGACAATGTCTTTGCTGTACATTATCTGGACACACTGTTGTGTATCTTACTGTAGAAGACAGAGGGCGGGTCATGGAAAAAGGAGTAGGAGCTGAAGAAGAGCAGGTAGGTGCTATAGGACCATGACATGGTGTAGAAGACCAGCTTCCATGCACTCTCTGGCATCTTGGCAGCATCTTTGGGCATCAGCCTACACCAGTGTGCTAGAGGCTGCAGGGGGAGAGTAGAGAGAAGGGTCTCAGTCAGGCAGGCGAAGACAGGATGTGCGAGGAAGTCACACTCAGAAATAATTTACAGTAGTCTGCTGACAAAATATGACATGAAACAGTGACTAGCAAATGAATCCTTACAACAATCTTGGACATTTAGATTGATACTCAAATGAAAATCCTCTACACTTTAGCAGTATTAATCAACTGCAAATGTTTATTCATTTACATAGTACCTTATAGTGAGATCATAAAAAGTGTAAGCATTTATCTCACATTTAGATACTCTAGCCACATGCGCCATCATTAGTAGGATACAGCAAATTACAAGCATGTGACAGTGTGCGCACAGAAACATGACTTTCACAAGTCTGCTTGTGGTCTCGTGTTAGTAGACAGAGCAAGTCAGATAAGTATGTACTGATGTAGCCTGACAACATGACTCCATCCACCTACTCACTGGTAGGGCTATGTTATCTTTCTCCTACTCACCAGTCTCATCGCCTCCTCACGCCCACCCTTGACATCCCATTTTTACTTTCCCTCAGTCCCTTTCAGTGCCATGACAGCAGAAAGCATGAATCAAAATGCAACTGAAAAAACTAACAATCAATGAAATGCTGAGCACATGACACTGATGAACAACTTCCAACAAACATAGGCAGGCAAACATGTAAAGGAAATACAAGACAAATATGTAAAGCAGACAGGACAGATATATCAGTTAGCCAGGTGTTCAGTGTTTCATAGTTGTGCCAAAAGAGAAAACCAAACCCAGCTCACAAAAACTCACCCACACCACTTTGCAGAGAAACTGTGTAACTAAAGGCAGCAAAAAGAAAGTTGCCTGAGAACATCTCAGTTCCAAGCAGCCCGTCTACAGGACATGAGCCACATTCATGGTAGAAGTGTCGTTACATCTAAACGTAAAACTGGCCTTAGAAAGCCACCCTCACAGGAATCTTCTTTGTTACTTTTCCTGTCCATGGGGTTAAAACATGATACAGTACTGTTTTCAATTCCTTTACATCCCAGTCTTTCATTTTTCTCTTTTTCTGGATTTAATGGGCAAAAAACAAAGTCAAAACAAGAACAGGGAAGGAAGCTGACTGACATGAATACTGATGCAAGATAAAATGTCACAACCACAGACTTTGTGATCTGTAAGCATGACACAGACTGACAGGAAGCATGCTGGAGGCACATGATCACATCAGAGGCTGCTGACTGGTTGAAACTGTGGCAACATGTGGTGTGTGGAGTGCAGGGCACTCACCACATTATTTAAAGTCTCTCAGTGGATCTGTATCAGCCCCTCTCTTCCTCCATCCTTCCCCTTTATTTCTTTCTCTGTCCAGCTCCATCTTTCTTTCTCACTCTCCACCTGTGTCTCCCCCCTGCATGCAACATTTATTTATAGAAGCCAGCTGTCAGCACACAACATATCCCGAGTCTTCCACCACATCACCCCTGCACCCACACTCTCATAGGCTGAAATACAGTAGAGGCTGATACAGGTTACTGCAAACACCAGCTGTACCTCTGTGGTGCACATATTTCTTATTAATCACCATCACTGCTGTTACATCTTACCAACACTCCCATATATACACACATCACTGTTTTCAATCTGTCCTGTTTGCTTCGACCTGTGTCACACTCTGTCCTGTTTGCTTCGACCTGTGTCATCTACACCATCTCTGTGGCTATTTATACGGAAACTTGTGCCAGTAGTACATGCCTTGGCACCAAGGACTAGCTGATAGCAGATTTCTGTTTGACCCATTTGTTGTTAAAGTGTGAAGTTTTTCTTCTCCTGGCTAGTTCTGGGGACTCTATGTTCTTGTCCTAGCCAGATGAACAATCTGCCAGTGGTATCATTTTTGTTTCACTTTCAGCTACACAGCCCAGAGCCTACCTAGGTTCTCTCAATCCACTGCATTCATCTACTCTTTAGTTTCCGTCACCAGTCTACAGAGTTGGGGTGTAGTGGGTCAAGGACACCAAGATAATCCACGCGTCCTCTATCAAACAGATGACAAGGCCTTGAATTAGACTCAGCTGGGAACTACAACATGCAATGGCTCCCCCCCTCTTCCTCATCTGACAGACTGGCTCTGGCTGAGCTCATTCTGTAGCTTGAGGACCATTAGCTTTCATTTCACTGTCCACTTCTGTCCCATTCTCCCAACTAAAAAGAGAGTAAAAGCCGTGGAACATAAGCAGAAATGGAGACGAAGAGAAGCCAAGAAGAAACTGCACAGGCAAAATGTATGAGAGAAAAAGTCAGTGTGAAAAAGACTTGATGACAAATGAGTGGTTTTCTTAGCAACCCTGCAGGCAAGTGTTATTAAAACTCCCTCCATCTCTGCTCCACTCCAGTTTTTCCTCATCCGCCCTTTCTGCTTATTTGAAAGTGCACTCCTATTACTCTCCCTTTCACCTTCCAATCTCTAAAAGTGCTCAGTCCCACCCCTCTGCCCTTCCTGGAAGCAAGTGATGAGAGAGGAGGGAGGGTGAATGGACCTCACTGGCTTGTTGCATAAGAAGATAAACTGGTCCTGTGAGTCAGGATGCTGGCTCATCTGTGGCTCTCTTCAATAAGGTTTGCCTGCTCAATCCTTTAGCTCAGTCTAGTTTCAATCTGTCTTTGGCTCCAACGTCACTCTGACCATGTCAGTGTGACTTTTAAACTCTGTCACAGATACCCTATGTTCTCTTTGGGTTGTGGCCATACTGGGGGCAAATAGGATTTACAAAGGCCAACTCAAAGAATTGCCAGAATTTGCATAAGCAAATAAATATATCCTATTTATCTAGAATTTTCAAGTTATAGGACATTTTATATACTTTCTGCACTTCTGGTACTTATTACATTATTTGTTGTTAAGCAGCATTACATTTTCTTATCATCACTGATTAGTAGTGGAAGATAAAAATCATTTTCCAATTAAATCAATTTTATTTGAGTGGTCCAATCGATTCTTAAAATCCCAAGATCAACATTTGCACCTTTTCAAATAAACGAGTAAATCTACACTAGCCTAAATGTTACGTGTATGCTGTGGCTACTTGTTGTATGTGGTTCAGATCAGACAGGATAGTTTGTAAAATGTCTACTGTGTAAAAATCAAGTTATTAGAACACACACACACACACACACACACATTTTTTTTTACTAAAAAAAATAAAAAGATACAAGAATATCAGACTGCTGCCTCAAAACAAAACTGCAGATGAATTAGCAAGCAGACTTTCAGTTTCTGTTCTGTGCTCAAACTGATCATTAAGTATCTGTATTTAACTGAAGCATATGGTACTGAAGGTCCATGTGCAGCATTTATTTTTAAGAGATGCATAACAATGGCACTGCCTGTCAACTTTTTGTTTATGTAGGCCTAAAAATACAAATGTAATAAATCCTTGGACAGTTTAACCAGGAAATACATTTACAATTTGCCCAAGAACGTCTTACTGACCTTCATCTAGCACCATGAGTAGCACACAATGACCCAACACCCCCTCATATTTGATTATACTTTGTAGTGAGATGCAGCTTGTTCAAGTTTCATTGTTTCTTCGTTTCTTTATCATCCTCTTTTACGGAACATACTATATTATTGTACTGTACAGTCTGTAAAGACAGAGCAAAAGTAGCAACAGTAAAGTTTAAAAAGGCTAAATCTACCTAAACTACACCTCACATGAAAATTGACAAAACCCTAAATGAGTTGGTCAGAAAATGTAGCATGCCAATTCCAGGTCACATGTCACATTACCTTGAACTATTAACTGCGTATCATGACCATTCATTCATTCACCCACTATGCTGCTATAATTTATCTGAAGGTTAGATTACATTGATTTCACACATGTAACATACAGTACAAAAACACTGTAGCAAACTAATGGCATACAATAAAGCTGCTGCTTGTTATTCTACAAACAGTACAAAAACACTGTAGCAAACAAATGGCATACAATAAAGCTGCTGCTTGTCCTTTCCTCTTTTTATATACACAGTGTTTATATATGTATAAAAATTCCCCACTCGCCCCTCACTTTGGAGCGGTCTTATTCCTTCCTTCAAGCTCAAGTCCTCTACCAGAGGCCTGGGAGCTTGAGGGTCCTGCGCAGTATCTTAGCTGTTCCTAGGACTGCACTCTTCTAGACAGAGATCTCAGATGTTGCTCCTGGGATCTGTTGGAGTCACTCTCCCAGTTTGGGGGTCACAGCCCCCAATGTTCCTATTACCACGGGGACC